AGCTAAAGTGAGAAATGAAAAAAAATTAATAATAATTAATTAGAAAATTATTAATTTAATAAAACTATAAATTAGGTATAACATACATAGCTAAATTAATATTTGAATAAGGCTAAATATAGATAATAATATGGATTAAAAATAAAATTAATTATAAATAAGATTAATTAATAAAATTACTTATTTACCTAATTTAATAATGATTGGTAATTACTATATCATGTACTATGACTACATCATATCTATGAATAAGTGATTGATTATAATATTAATATAGTATAAAATCAAATTAAAAGATAATAATAATGAATAAAAGAAAGATATAACTCAAAATTACAAAGGATCACATAATTCAAAATTAATGATAAAGTTCTAATATACAATATAAAATAATATGTTACTTATAAAAATAAATTTCAGTCATAATAAAGTATAAAATAGTTCTATATTTATAAAACTTTTGGTAATAGAACTTATAAACTGAGGAACTAACATGATCAGTTATTATACAAAACTTTTAATAATACTCAACTAAAGTTTTATCACAGTAAAGAAGAATACTTTGAGTCAAGAATAATTATTAAATACATAAAAATATCAATAATAGAAAAAAAATGAAAAATAGATTTTTAGTCTCATAATATTTATTTATTTATCTCTTAATTTTATATAAACTTTATTTAGTAATATATATATGCATATATGCTTATTACTTATTAAAAATTTTATTTTATAAATATAAAATTTTTACTTTAATATTTTCTTTAAATTTTTAATACTTTTAATTATTTTAATATCTCTATTAATTAGCTTAATTTCTTATTAATATTTAACTTTTTAAAGATAAATACTCTTTTTAATAATCTCAATTTTATTCAAAATATTTTGACTCTTCACCAATAATTAAAAGATAATAAATTTTGTAAAACTTTACAAATTCATAAAGATTAGTTAATACTTGATAATAGTAATCAGAAAATAGTTTATGATCTTGTTACTAAAAGATAACTCAATACCAGTATGATCTCAGAAATATCTCAAGAATCAGAACTAATAGTAGAAGAAGTCTTAACTTTCATAAATAATTTATAGAATAATATCAGAATAAAATAATTTGTGAATATAATTAACACAAAAATATCAAAAATAGTAATTATAGCAAATATTAATTATGAATTTTGATCTAATCAAAACTAAAAGACAAGAGTTCAAATAATTTTTAATAATCTATTTGAAAATTATGATAATTAATCTGATGAATTACAATTCATTAAATATTATTATTTTGGATAATTATTAAAAGAAATATCTAGATAGTACTCTTGAAAATTAATGGAATTACAAAGAAAACTAGCTTAATTAAAAGAAGTAACTTTGATTAAAAGATATTTCCTTCTTGAAAAACAAATTTACTAGCTATTAGAAAAATATGAACTTGAAAAAGCATATAACTTTCAATAAATTACTTATAATAATCTTGTACATATAAGAAATAAAGAAATCAAAAAAATTTTGAAGAGAATTTAATTAATCTTGCTAGAGCTCAATCTTACTTAAAGAAATTAAATATTATTATAATAACATAAATTTCTTTAATTTCATAATTTTTTGAACTTGAAGTTTTTAACTAATTAATTAATTTTTAGAAGATATATATAATTTTAAATAGTATAATTGATATATCAGTTATGAATTTAATTATAATTTAATAATAATTTTGCAATATTTCTGCAATATTTTTGTAATACTTCAAGATTATGAATAAATAATTAGCTTTAAAATTAATATAGTCATACCTCTATACAGTCACCTCTTATATAATCACAAACTTTATATAATTACACAATTTTGTGTTCCTATTTTTTTATTTAAAAATACCTTTTTATAGTCACATTTCTTTTATAATCACTGTCACATTTTTTTTGAATCTTTTATTATTAAAAATATTTCTATACAATCACATCTTGTAATCATATGATCAATAAATAATATATAAAAGTAAAAATTTTTACTTATTGTTATTTAAAATATCTAATGAACTGGTTAATAAAAGAGCATGAACTGCTATCAGTGACAGTTTAAAATATGAGATTTGTAAGTATAATGATAAGTATCCCAATGAAAAACAGTCAGATATTGCAAAATATTTTAATAAAAAAGATCAAACTCTTAATCTTGACCACTCAACTATTTCAAAAATTTTAAAAGAAAAACAAAAATAATTAGCAGTCATTGATAATAAGATCAGTTCAAAAATTTTTCATCACAAAAAAGTCAAATTTCCATTGTTAGATCAATCCATACAACTTTGGATTAAACAAGTAATAAGTGGCAAAATGTTTTTAACCGAACTAATAATCAAAGAAAAAGCAATTTTTTTTCCCAATCATTGAATTTATCAAATAATATATTGAAGTTTTCCAATAGATAGATTTATCAATTCAAAAAATGAAACAATTTGTGAAATTATCAATTATATAAAGAGACTAATAGTGCATCATTAGAATCACTTTCAGACTAAAGAAAAAAATTATGTGAACTTATTGAAAAGTATCCATTGGAAAATTTTTTTAATACTAATAAAATAGAACTCTTTTTTCATATGACTCCACATCAAACACTTACATCAGAATCACGTTTTGGATGAAAAAAGATAATTAAAAATTTTATAATTTTTATTTATTAATTTAAATATTCAGATTTTACTTTAGGATCATACATGCATTACTGTTATATTGACAATAAATGCAATTGGAACTGAAAAATTAAAACCAACTGTTATTGGATTATCTATTCAACTTCAAACTTTATTTCATATAAATTATAATACTTTACCTATTATATATTGGGCCAATTCAAAAGCTTGGATGCAAAGTGATATTTTTAGAGAGTGATTTCAAAAGCTTGATGAAAAGTTTTGCTTGGAAAATCAGCAAATTTTATTGCTAGTTGTAATACTTCAAGTTATTATAATCCTAATGATAATATGAATCATGAAAGTCCTAATCTCTCAGGCTCAGATAGTAAAAAATCAGATAATAATAATCAAGCTAGATCATCTATTATTATACGTGGTATCCGATATAATCATCCAAGAATAAATACTATCAGTAGATGGGGTAGACAAAATTTTCATAGTTAGGATCATTAGGATAGTGATCATGCTCATTCTTATAGAATTTCTAACCTTTCCAATATTTATTTAACAAACATCAAACTTGAGTTTCTACTATCTAATATTACCATACACCTTCAGCTAATGGATATGAGAATAATCAATAGTTTTAAAGTGAAATATAAATGAAAATATATATAACATATATTGAATCAATTTGAAAAAGGTGAGAATTTTAAAAAGTAAGGAAATTTATTCTTTAGTAATACACTTAAAATTATATTATTCTGCCACTTTTTATTATTATTTTTCTATTATTTTCAATATGGAAGATCTCCTGATTTATATTCTTTATTTAGAAATAAAATTAATATCAAAGATACTATATATTATATCATGACATTATAAGATGAAGTCAAGAAATTGATCATTGTAAATTATTAGCAGAAAATAGGAATTCTTCCATCAATCTTAAATACTGAAATTGAAGATGTCATCAGTACTGAACAAGACTTAGCCAATAGCAAAGAAGATAATATTAGAAATTTGATCATAGATCTGACAACAAAATTTCCAGATCCAACAATTGAACAGGAATTGAATGGATATACCAAGATTAATAATATACAAATACCTACAAAAAAAGTACTCAATAAAATGCAAATTATTAAAATTGTGTTAGACAAATATCAGAAATGTGAAGAGAATGATTCTAATAATACTGATGAAGAATCATCTGAAATTTCTATTTCAGAAAGATTGATTGAATTAAAGAAATTTATCAATTTTTTTGAGCAACAGAAAAGTAGGGATTTTAATATAGAAGATTTAAAGGTTTTAAGAAAGTATTTACTAATAATAGAATAAAAAAATATAGAATCTAAATAATAGAAATCAATTACTGATTTCTTTAGATCTGTTTATAGAGTTTAAAATATTAATTTCAGATTAGTTAGCCAAAGAAAAGATACTTGTTTCATGAAATTATTGAAGGTTAATATTCGATTATTGGTTACCTATTTTTTAATAATATTCTACTAAGTATGATTTTTCATTTCATATAAAGGGCCATGCTTTTTCAAAATAATTATCCCTCTAAAGTCATATCAGATCGATATTTTATATAGTGTGATTATATAGAGAGAAACTCTACATGGTCATACCCATATATAGTCACAAGTTAAATATATTACCAACTATGTAATATTAGAGAGATATGACTATAATAATTCACAAATAATTTAATAATAGTTCATAACTATTTTAGAAATAATTTAGTAATGAATTTAATTTATTTTTATTATTATCTTTTTCTTTTTAGAATATCTATCTTATCTTTTTATTTTATTTTATCATTTGTATTATCTTTTAACTTATCACATGTATCTTATTTTATTATTTTACTTATTTATTTATTAATCTTTTGTCACAAGATTTGTAATTATAATTTAGAATAGCAAATAAGTTTAGATAGAAACTTGTAAAATCTTAAAGATGTATAAATATCGCTGCTCTAAGTTCTAAAATAAATATATTTGAATAGCAATAATTTAATTATCTTTAATAATACTTGAATTATATTTATCTTATAATTTTTTTTTATTTTTATCTTGATATCTTGCTTTCATTTATCTTTTTTATCATAATAGATTATATTTTAATTATTTACAAGTTTTTCTTATCTAAAAAACTTAGATAGTAGATATTCTTCACTTAAAATAAGTCAAGTATATTTATTTAATTTAGGAAGTTCTTGTAAGTTTTCTCATGTATAAAAGCTTAATTTAGTATTTATTACTTTAGAATTAGTATTTATTACTTTAGTATTTATATTTATTATATTAATATTAGTATTTATTATCTTGATTATAAGCATTTATTACTTTAGTTTTTGATACTAACTCTTAGTTTAGTTTTTATAATCATAATCTTTTTTGTAGTTATTTTTGTATTTGCCTTGTATTGATATAATACTTATAAGTATTAGTACTAGAAAATCTTTAAAATAATTATTATTCTCTTAATCTTTATAAATAATTCAGTTTTCAATCTTAAAACTTATTATAAACTATATTCATAATAAAATCTATCTTTTAGAATATAGTTTATAATATTAATTAGATTTATTGTACTAAATCTTTGAATTTTCTAATCTATTTTTTTTAAGAATTATTAAGTGACTATATTACTTATAATACTATTATCAATTATTATTTTGCAAGATTAATTATTAATAAATCCATTTACATATATAATATCTACAGATATTTATTAATTTTATTAATTTTCTTTTTCATTTTTTATTAATAATTTCTTGAGCTAATAATTATTAATTGAAGATTTTTTAGTTGTAAATGCATTTTCATCTTCTAAAGATATATTTAAGAGTTTAAATATTCTTTAATATTCAAGTAAGCATTCTATTTGTTATTATTATTATTATTATTATTATTATTATTATTATTATTATTATTATTATTA